TTTTACAATCAATTTATTTGTTTTGTACCAAAAATAAAGGATGGCTGACGGAAGTTCTCTTGGATAACCTTGGCAAAACATCTTAATTAAATTAGAGGTAAAGAAGAGAGCTTGAGAAGTTTAAAATCTTTGAATCATTTCCAGTCACTCAACCAACGAGAAAAAGTACCAAATAATTCAGTGTTATTTTAACAATCTCTTTATTTATATTTTCTACCAAAAATAAAGAAATAACAACAAGTAAAATACTTGCGGCGCTTTTTCTATTATTTATAGGGAATATTATGCAAAAGCAAGTTCAGCGCCCCTTCGAACCTTGGACCCTAGACTAGCCCCCAGCCTAGTTAGTGTGAGTAAATCAGGCCCTGGTGATTCTGTCATAATTTATTTATTTATTTATTTACTAGGATTACCAACAGAAATTACAACAGCAATACAAAGATCATTTTCATAACAAGTTCAACACGTTATAATTGTATTTCCTCTTATGGGTAATCAAAACAGGCGTTGATTATTTTGTAAGGAATAAAAACTGAATTACATCATTGAATAAATACAAATTATTAAAAAGAAATAGAATTATTTGACAATATTATAAATATCTTCATTGTCATATTATATTATATTAATCAAACTATAAAAATCAAAAACAATTCCAATGTTATAATTAATAATTAATTAATTCGTTAATTCATAGAAATTCATTAATTTTGATTTGAAGGTGGATAAACTATCGCAATTAATATCGAGGCCAGAAATCTTCGAGGACAGTTCGTTATAAGTGCGAGCCAGTCTGGCTAGAGGGGAATACTTTCTCAAGTTAGATCTATAAAGGGATACATTGAAAAAGGCGTGCGGATTTCTAGTAATTCTTGATGGCACCTTAAAGTTAAATAATTGAACTATTGCTGGACAATCAATACTATTATTGAGCGTTTTGTATAGGAACATCATGTCTGAGATACTTCTACGCGATTGTAGTGATGTGATGTTAAATTGTGCCAACTGTCTTTCGTAGGAATCTTTAGTTTGATAGCTATTCGAATGGTACGCAAGATGACGCAGCAGTCGTTTTTGTACTCTTTCGATTCTAATGCTATGGATTTTGTAGTGCGGATTCCAAATTTGACTGCAGTATTCTAGTTTACTTCTAACCAGATTACTGTAAAGTTTGATTGTAGTAGAGGGCTGCCTGAACTCTTTGGAATTCCTCCACTTTCCACCACTTAGCTGAGGTGATTATGTAATATAATAATAACAATATGGTTGGTAAATTTTAATTCGCTGTCTAGTATAACGCCTAAATCACGTATCGCTCGAACTGCAATTAGTTACTCAGTATCAATATAGTATTGACTCTGTATATAATTTTGTTTTCTGGTAAACCTAATAAGTTGACATTTTTTGGCATTGAGAAACATTTGATTGTTATTACACCATTGAATAAGGCTGTTGAGATCATCTTGTAGAAATTCGACGTCAGAGTTGTTTCTAATAGTTTTAACTATTTTGAGATCATCAGCAAATAGGTAGACCTTAGAGTGTTGAAATATTGAAACAATGTCGTTTATAAAGATGTTAAAAAATACTGAACCTAAGTTTGAGCTTTGCGGTACACCGGAGTAGGCAATATTTGGCTGCGAGGAGTACCCATCAATCACCACGGTCGAAGATCTACTTTGAAGGTATGATGAACACCAGATTAATAATGTCCCATTAATACCAAAAGCTCTCAGTTTATTGACAATCAGTGCGTGATTTACTTTGTCAAAGGCCTTGGAGAAGTCTGTGTATGTAGCATCCACTTGTACTTTATTATTAACGTTCTCAATTAAATCGGTGATATATAAGAACAGATTTGTGACAGTAGAAATACCAAACAAAACACCATGTTGCTGCCAGTTTATACTTCGTCCTAGATTCTTGAAAAATGATTCATAGACTAATATCTCAAAGACCTTTGACATTGTAGATAATATGGATATAGGTCTATAATTAGTAACACTCGTAGGATTTTCACTTTTAAGAATTGGTACAATCCGCGCTTCTTTCCACTTTTCGGGGAAAATGCCAGAGCTCAAGGAGGTATTGAATATAATAGTTAACGGAGCAGCCAAAGAATTTGCACACCTATATATAAATATATGCGGAATACCGTATGGACCAGCGGTTTTTGATGTATCGAACCTTTTCAGCCTTTTCTCAATTTCTCGTTTAGATACGTAAATATTGCCTATATATTTTTTGTTTTGGATACTGGTTGTGTGTGAAAATTTTTATTTATATCATCCTTAATAAAAACCGATGGGAAATGACTAGCAAACAAATCACATATTTCTTGCCTACGATTTGCATCACGATCATTCAGAGATATTTTATTAGGATAATTTGAGCCTTTACGACGCATGTTCTTCATATGTGTCCAAAAATACCTCGGATTATCGCTAATAGCTTCCTCGATGTGTTCAATATAATTATAATAACATTGTTTTATTAGTTTATCGCAATCCTTCCTTAGGTAAGAGAATTCAATTTTATCTAATGGATTATTATACAGTTTAATTTTATTATGACATTTGTGTTTCCGTTTAATGAGTTTAATTAGAGCGGCTGTGATCCAGATAGGATAAGATTTTGAAGATTTGCACGATTTGGGGACGAATCTGTCTATTGCTACCTACAGGATTTCGTAGAATTTCGATATCATTTCATTTACATAACTTAGTACGCCTAAATTTTGTAGCTGATTTATTATTTTTTATGATTTTATCGTCGACGAATCGAAGGTAAGAGATGTACTTGCCATTGATGTTGATTGTTGATACAGTATTCTTTTCAGTCCGGTACTTGTAAACGTCTTCCAACGCACCGGTGGAAATTAACTGTGAATATAACGTCACCCTGTCGTACACCACTTAGCAATTTTATGGTTTTCGTACTCTTGTTCTGTACTCGGATAGCCATCGTAGTTTTACTGTACTAATACTTCATTATACAGACAGTCAACTTTTGGTTCTTGTGACTAAATTTTAGTAGCTTGATTACTACACTGGAAGATAAAAACATTTATTTACAGGCACTCGGCCATACTTCCTAGTGAGTTTAGAAAAGGTACGCTTGCATGCAAATTGGTGGACTATGGGGGGCAGAATAACTTAAAGTGTACTTACTGATCTCCGCAGCGGAGTTGGAATCATGAGGGGGGGGGGGGGGGGTTTAAATACGATTCGCCACTCTCTATAGCCTTAGCATCTGAATATTAATCAGTGGAGCTATAGATCACTTTGCTGTTGAAATTGTTGTTTTATAATTAGAAACTTGGCTCAGCAATCCGCAGTTAAGGCGAACAGCGTAAGAATAGCATATGAGTAAATGACAATAAAGTTTTAAAGGCCAAGAAAATCCACGGCCCTGCGCATGTTATACCTATTTAATTTGTTATTATGTATTCTCGCGTCTATGTGTTTTTTTGAATTCAGGATAATAAGGAAATTTGTAAAATGTGTATGTACCCGCTAAAATGCATAGTATTCTGTGAACTATGTGAACTTCCCGTATTTATAACTAAGTATACTCTTTTACTATAAATATGTGGTGTTTACATGGTAGAGCCATGCTGCAGCTATATTACTGGTATATTTGTAGCACGAATGGGTACGGCTCGACCGGGGAAGGACCACGCTCTCACAGAATACCAGCGTAAAATAGCAGCTTAACACTGCTGTGTTTCGTATGGTGAATGTAGAGAACCGGAGACCCATTTAACTGGAAAAGAGGCATTCCATCTTAGTCCTCACGGGTGACAACGCATCTACATTTTGATTCGCAAACGAGGATAGATGTAGATGTCTATGGGCCACAGCAACCCGTTACCATCAGGTGAACTGTGTGCTCGTTTGTAACCCTATCCTATAAATAAAATACACTACAAATAGGTCTATATAGGTATCTAGTGGTCTCTAATAATTATCTTTAGAGCTTAGTTTAATATTCCTTGTTAGCACGATAGAAAATCTATACAAATAAATAAAATTGTCTGTTTGTAATACCAAAATAACAACTTGTCACTAAATACATATTAAAGTGTATACGGTATTTAAAACAAAAACACAATTTTTAAAAATTTTATCTGTCTGTCTGTCCGTTTGTCTGTCTGTCTGTTTGTTCCGGCTAATCTCTGAAGTGGCTGGACTGATTTTGACGGGACTTTCACTGGCAGATAGTTGATGTTATAAGTCTACTTTTATTTTATAAAAAGAATTAGGGTTCCGCGCAAAAAAAATTAAAACCCTAAATTTCGCGGGCGAAGTCGCGGGGAGCAACTAGTTTAAAATAGAAAAATTAGATAAAGAATTTAAAATACAGCCGCGCAAAACGTTATTAATAAATACGCCATCTGCGGAAAAACTGCCATCAATTTATACACTCATTCACAGCTTAATATATTCGCGTAATGCCACTAGATGGCAATAGTAGCTACCGGATGTAAAATTTAGAACAATTAAATTAAAAAGATTATATTTTTAAAGAATGAATATAAAAATATACTCATAGCTCATAATTAAATTATTTCATTTTATTTATTGTTATAATATTATAATTGGTACCATAAATCTAATAATAAGAATCAGATATACTTTGCAATCATGCTCATACAGATTGACCTACATTTGAAGCCCTTGTGAAAGGATTGTGCAATAGAAACGGTCATTTATTACACAACACGATGTATTCATGAGCAAATTTAGTAATTTTGCATCATTTACATGAATTTTTAAAGCTCACTTGATTATTGTGGAATAAACGTTATAAGTACTTTTGTAAAATTTTCTTTCTTATTTAAATGAGTATCTTACGCATAAAACTGAAAAATATATTATTTTACTGTAATTATACCCGTATAAATATTTTTATTGAAAAATAGGCCATGACATACTTTTTTCAATTTGGGTTAATTTCTCACTGCCCTTTACCGACTTATTTCAATGTCAGTCATGAGTACAGTAGCTCAACTGATCCTGAGTTATGTCGGAATATCAAAGTGTAAGTGAAGTGGCCTAGAGACCTACATTTTGTGTTTTTTAAGGTATTATCCATTTCTGTGGCGGAACTTTAAAGCATAGTATTTTCCTGAGCAACGTAGATGATAAATGATAAATTATTTGAACGAAAAAATCTAACAATTCCAACTGACCATCCGTGAATAATGCACGAAGACTCTCCTAGAATGAGTGTTGCGCAGAGTCTGGCCGCCTCTACCAGCCAGGCGAAAAGCGAAATCGTAATGGAAGCCCCAGAATATGAGATAAATTGCGTCGAATCAAAACCAACAGAAAATGTTGAGATGGAATTGAAAATCGCATATGTAAATCCCTCCAGTGGTACGTATCCTTCTTGTTCATGTGCTTTTATTAAATATTGTAATATATTTGTTAATTTGTGTGTATATATATATATATTATTTAAGAGTTTGAGCTGCTTTTACACGATGTTAAATAAGTCAACTATTATACAAGACAATGTGTAATTTCTTCTTCAAAAATGTATACTTTATTAATTCGTATAAGACTCTACTAAGAGCCAGTATTAATTAGAATTTAGGGGACATGAGGCTTGAGGAATATATTTAAAGGTATATTATAAGAGGCAAGAGGTTGTATAATAATTACATTTACATTGTTATGTATTATGGAGGCAACAGGCTAGGCTACCTGCTCGTACGCTCGGTTGCACGGTGTGGCAACGCCGCATTGGCTTTTCGCGCTATCCTGCGACGGAATAGTTGTGTGAAACACAGTTTTTTTTTTAAGTTTTTCGACGAATAGTCATTGCAGCGATGCGCGCCTCGAAATCGATAGTTAATTATTTACGCTGAGACAACTACCATGAACGCCATTTGCACAATAATCAATGGTCAAGCTCGTTTTATATTCTGAGAGTGTGCGGCGACGTTGCTTTTTGATTTCGTTCGGTGTCAGTAGGGCACGTTTGCTCGGCTGCGGCCGCACTGCAGTGAAGGTTTTAATGGATGCCATACACGATCCAGTTTACCGTCAAGTTTGCAGCGTGCTTGAAGCGACGTCAAATTTGCAGTGCATCCATATAAACCACTTACGTTCAAGTTCGCCGTCAAGTTTCCATGATGAAGCATCAGGTGAAACCATGGCCTCTCGCTTATTTGCTCCGACTACCGTCATGCATACTTGACCGCTCATACACACCTTCAAGTTTGCATAACGTTGCAAGCTTGATCAAGTCGGCAGAATCGAAATTCAATTTTTGCTTCAAGTGGACTTGTCATGCACACTGATAGCCATACACCGTCACGTTTACCGGACGCCTCTTCAAGCGCGCTGCAAACTTGACGATAAACTGGATCGTGTATGGGTGTGTGGCATCCATAAGCGTTTGTTAAACGGTACCGTATTGAATAATCGCCCTGGACGTGACTTAGGAAAAAATCTAAATGAAAATTAACTACCACTTAGATACCTATTCTAGATTTTAGAAATGATTATTATTTTATATATATCATAATTATTACGACATTGTAGTTTTATACGAATTTTATAACCGATTACAAAGATACTGTATTGAGCTTATGTTTCGTATAGGTCTATATACGAGCGCGGCACTGAAAATTTCGGGAATCAAGGAAGTGACACAACATTACTATTTAAAAATGTATTTATTGCTTTTCGAAGTATTCTCCGCTAAATTTGACACATTTTTCCATACGATGGAACCAATCATTGCAGCAACCATTCAATTGGGAAGTTGGGGTCTCCAAAATGACCGTTTTGTAGGCGTCCACAGCTTCTTCAGGTGATGAAAATCTCTGTCCACGCAATTTATTCTTTATTTTAGGGAAAGTATAGAAATCATTAGGGCTTAGGTCGGGGCTGTACGGCGGATGGTCTAATAATTCTATGTTTCCTTGCTCTAAAAACTCTTTTGGTCTGTGTGCGGTGTGAGAACTCGCATTGTCGTGATGGAGGATGATGCGGCGGTTGCAGTTCTCTTTACGGAGTTCAGAAACGACCTGTGGCAAACAAATGCTAGCATACCATTCTGCATTAACCGTTCTTTGTCCGTCAAGAGGAATAGTCGTAACATGGCCGGTTTTGGAGACAAACGTGGCCACCATTTTTTTTGCAATGTTCCGTGAACGAATAATTTTTGTTGGCTTTAACTAATTTTCGAACACCCAAACTCGTGACTGGTTTTTTGTTTCGGGTCCGTACGCGTATACCCAGGATTCGTCACCTGATACGATGTTGTATACAGCATTTGAGGATCCTGCGTGGAATCTTTCGAGAGTTCTGACGCACCAAGTAACGCGAGCCGCTTTTTGCTCTTCACAGAGCGAATGCGGTATCCATCGGCAAAACAACTTTTTTACACCTAATTGTTCATGCAAGATTATTTGTATTTGACTCATGCCAATGTCTAAAGTTGCCTGAATTTCGCGGTATGCCATATATCGATCTTCCTCAATCAGCTTACGCACAGCATCAACGTTTTCTTGGGTGACTGCAGTTTTTGGACGACCTTGACGGGGATGATCACTGAGCTTGACACGTCCACGTTGAAATTCAGCAAACCAGCGATAAATTGTGGTTTTGGATGGGGCTTCATCACCAAATGCAGAAATCATCCGGTCAACACACTGTTTTTGTGTTAAACCACTTCGAAAGTCATAATAAATCATCGCTCTTGAATTTTCTCGAGTCAATTCCATTTTCTCAACGACTAAACAAACAAGTTTGACAAAACCTTGTGACAAGACCGAGAATCTTTTTTAAATAAATAAATGGTATTCGATTTTTAAAACCAAGGAGCTTTCAATTAAAAATATTTTAATATGACAGGAAAAGTGGAAATATTCCATTCCCGATACTTTTAGTGCAGCCTATGTAATAATAATGATTCTTTAAGAATCCTACTAGATGGCGCTCTATGTAGAGTAGGTACATATATGATCATATGTACTGTACTATATCCGGCTGTATCGGCCAATTACTAAATTGGATATAAAATGCATAGATACTGCTAATATTTTAGACGGTAGGTGACGTACACTTAGTGCGGATATAATAAGTATCTGTTAATGCGAAATTCAATCTTTTGAGGATTAGTGTTGAAACACAGATATAACGTCGGAACAGGTTTGAATTATAAAACCAAATTACTTCAAACTTTATCATAATTTGATCCATGATAGTTTTTAGGTATATGTACCTATACAATATACAAACTACATATTATAGTATGACAACATTTCCATTTCTTCCATAATTGAACTTATAGACATCACCATCTATAAATACTTCTGCAGGTAACTCCAACTGGCATACGACAATAATTCAAATGTATCCGATGTCAACATCAACAAGACTATACTTCAATCTAGACAAATAAATAAAATTGAAGTGTCTGTTTGTAATGTCAAAATAACAGCTTTTTACTAAATGCATATGAAAGTAAATACGGTACTTATAACTAAAATACAATATTTAAAATTTTTGTCTGTCTGTCTGTCTGTTTGTTCCAGCTAATCTCCGACACGGCTGGACCGATTTTGACGGGACTTTGACTAGCAGATAGCTGATGTCATAAGTAGTAACTTAGTCTACTTTTATTTTAGAAAAAGAATTAGGGTTCTGCGCAAAAAAATAAAAACCCTAACACGCGAGCGAAGTCTCGGGGAACAGCTAGTTTATTCAAATAAAATTGTTGTCCTTCGATAAAAACTACACGAATATCAAACAATTAGCAAACGCAAAGCCAAAAAATAGTATGTTTTAATTATAATAATGTACTTTATATAAACGTCGAGCTAAAAGCGTAATGGAACTACTGTCCTGTAAGATAATATGTCAATAAAAATGATCTCAAAATGTGTATATTTCTATACGACTTTTTTCTTAAATTCCTAAGTTAGAAGTGAACAAAGTTTCGTAACGATGATATCCGCCGTAGAACTAAAATTACAAACATAGCCCAACAGATAATTAAGCTAAAGTAGCACAAACTTCTTATATATCTAAATTTAAACATACATAGCGTAACGCAATTAGGGTGGATGCCTCTATTACCAGCCTTTCAGTGACAGTTTCAACTTTAAAAATTATTGCTATTTTAATAAGAGCATAATCTAAGATTGTAATGATCATTTACTATTTACTTTATATTCATATTATTTAATCAAATGAGTGGGGGATTCAAGTTCTACACTCACTTCTATGTATCTCTTTATTTTCTACATAGTCTTATGTAGAAGCTGGAAACATTTAAATAATAAGACAAAGTTCTATATTAACTGTTCACGTACCCATGTAGCCTTCTTGCTTCGGAATCAGACTACAAATAAGATGTGCGAATTTCATTGGGGTTTTTATCATATCGATGGCCAACACGTTTATCGTGTTATTTTTTTATTATTTACTTTCCTTATGTATCAATCAATTGGTCGTCGGGAACATCGTCAACTCATGTGTCCGCTGTGTCTAACGAAGTCCGCAAAGTCACCATTCGAGAGTGAGCACCATACCTCCCACTAAAACCTTACTATGCAAACCCGGATTTTGTTAGCTACGAAATATTCGGAATAAACTGTAAGACTGTAACACTTAACATTATACTTTTACACACCACAAGGGGGCCAACATTTTCATTTGTAACACGTTATAATTGAACAATTGCTTTTTGGCCAGTCGTAAAACGTTAAAACTTTAAAAGTTAAGTGAAACATGTGTCTGAGTCGATAATGTCATCAAATCACGTTAGTGTTCATGAGTTCTAGTTGTACCCGCATTTCTGTCTCTTTTTTTTACCACTATCTCAGGACAGTAAATACTTTCGTATTACTTAATATAAACTGATTAACACTTCATATATCTAACACCTATTTTGATAATATAACATTGATCTAAATTTCGTGATAACAATTTTAAAAATAGAAAACAGTATGGCCTATGCTCAGAAAGTTTTCCATATAAAAGATTTTTTAGACATTATGTCCTCATGTTTATAATAATGAGGGTATCCACGATTTTTTCTACCACCAGGGCGGCGCCACTTTTCATGGAGGTGAAATATTTGATAAATTTCACAGCGGGGAAGATAATCCAGTAACTTTATACATCACAGCATGCGTCACATCCGGTAGTTCTGATTTTTTGCAGACTTGTTTATGATGTTGGCCCAATGAATAATCCAAGTTTGTGACCTAGAGCGCCGAACGCAACTTTGTCAAAAATCGCGAAAAGTCATTTTTGTTTCTTTAAATTTTGGCGATTATAACCCTAAAGGACTAGTTTTTGAAAAAACTTTCGAAAGACGTTTTTAAAGTAGACTAAATTTGCTATAATATGATACT